CACTCCCCCTGCTTGTGTTCCCTCTCTCGCTGTGTCTCTGTCAAATAAATAAATAAAAAAATCTTAAAAAAAATAAAAAAATAAAAACAGCTTCTATGGGGTATGACCTCAACAGGGCAGCAGCGGGGAGATCTTTTTGGTGATGGAAGAGTTCTATGTCTTCATTGTGGTGGTAGTTACACAAATATATGTAATATATTTGTAATATATATGTATATATGTAATATATATAGGTAATAAGGTAATGGAACAAAAGACAAACTGGACATCACCAAAATTTAAACTTTTGTGCTTCAAAAGATACTAAGAAAGTTAAATGGGGCACCTGGCTGGCTCAGTGAGTGGAACGTGTGACTCTTGATCTCAGGGTTGTGAGTTTGAGCCCCATGTTGGGTGGAGAGATGGCTTAAAAATAAAATCTTAAAAAAAAAAAAGCCATTAAGAAAGTAAAAAGACAACACCCCCTTTCCACACACAAAAGGTAACCCACAGAATGGGAGGAGGTATTTGCAAATCATACATCTTAATAATGGTTTAGTAGCCAGACTATCTAAAGAACTCTTACAGCTAATAAGACAAATGAGTTAAAAAAAAATGGGCCAAGGATTGATTGATTGATTTTTTTAAAGATTTATTTATTTATTTGAGAGAGTGAGAATGAGAGACAGAGAGAGAGAGTACATGAGAGGGGGGAGGGTTAGGGGGAGAAGCAGACTCCCTACTGAGCAGGGAGCCCGATGCGGGACTCGATCCTGGGACTCCAGGATCATGACCTGAGCCGAAGGCAGTCGCTTAACCAACTGAGCCACGCAGGCGCCCCTGGGCCAAGGATTTAAACAGACATTTCTTCAGAGGATATACAAGTGGTCAATAAGATCATGAAAGGATGTTCAACATCAAAGGAAATGCAAATCAAAACCACAATGAGATACCACCTCATACCCAACAGGATGGTTATAATCAAAAAGATAATAACAGGTGTTAGGAGGATGTGGAGAAAGTGGACCCTCTCACACACTGCTGGTGGGAATGTGAAATGGTGTAGCCACTGTGGAAAACAGTCTGGCAGCTCCTCAAAAAGTTTAAACACAGAGTTACCATATGACCAGCCATTCCACCCTAGGTACATACAAAGGGAAATCGAAACGTATGTCCACAAAAAAACTTGTACCCAAATGTTTGTAGCAGCACTATTATAATAGACAAAAAGTAGAAACAACCCAAATGTTCGTCAGCTGATGAATGGATAAATAAAATGTGGTTCAGCCACTCAATGGCTTAGTATCTGGCAAAAAAATGGAATGAAGTGCTGATACATGCCACAACATGGATGAACCTCGAAAACAGTTATGTCAAGAGAAAGAAGCCAGTCACAAAAAAGCCATATATTGAAAGATTCCCTTTATATGAAATGTCCAGAATTGACAAAACCACAGTCAGAAAGTAGAGTAGTGGTTGGTGGGGGCTGGAGCAGGGGGAGAGGGAAGTGATGGCTTAATGGGTGCAGGGCTGCTTTTTGGGGTGATGAAAATGTTCTGGAATCAGGTAGTGGTGATGGTCGTATAGCCTTGTGAATGTCCTAAAACCACTGCACTGTACACTAAAAGTGTGAGTTTTCCGGTACATGAATTATATCTCCACTAAAAAAAAAAAAAAGAGGAAAGCCAAAGACATATGCAAACAAATAAACCAAGACAGGTAGAAAGAAATGTCTGTTGTGTCTGGGTCACAAAGTGAAAAACGAGAACAGTGGAAAAGATCCTAAGCAGAGCACTGCTTCATACATCACAGAACAACCACATAACAGAGTATCGTGCAGCTCGTGCAGCTGCTGAAAGATGCGGGCTGTCACGTCAGGGAAAAAGAGAAAGACCAGTCGGCCCGCACCGCTCGGGTGTTGGCCGTGGGCACCTGGGATCTCTGTGAGAGCTCTGTTATTTAGTCAAAGTACACTGTTTTGAATTTTAATAAAAGTAGAAGGTTTAAAAAACAGCCTCTGGGCGCCTGGGTGGCTCAGTCGTTAAGTGTCTGCCTTCGGCTCAGGTCATGGTCCCAGGGTCCTGGGATCGAGCCCCGCCTGGGGCTCCCTGCTTGGCGGGAAGCCTGCTTCTCCCTCTCCCTCTGCCTGCTACTCTACCTACTTGTGATGTCTTCTCTCTGTTCCAAATAAATACATCTTTTAAAAAAACAAAAAAGAGCTACCTTTAGGAGCTTTGTCTATATCCTATTATTCATGACACATGCCTGGGGTGGGTACGGTCACTTCCACAGCACAGAGGAAGGAGCGGGGTGGAAGCGCGTGTCTGAGTCTGCAGCTCTTGCTCGTCACTACTACTTAAATACCACGCAGTGCCCGTGTCTGTTCTCTTCTGTCCTGTGACCACGACTAACTCTTCACTTCCTGAGTGCTCACTGTATGCTGCAGGCTTTATATAAGTAACTCACTCAAGTTCACCAGCACCCCGTGTGGCGGTCCTGAGGGAAGCAGGGATGTAGGAAAGAGGGCGCATGGCTACCAAGAGTGGCGCTGGGCTCTGGACCCAGGGCCAGCCAACTCTGGAGTCTCTTGGTTCTCAGTCTGTGTGTGGACGGCACAACACAAGAGCTGCTGGGAAATCCTTTGGTAACCAGGTCTTAAGGTTATCCGGGCCTTCCCTTCAGGCTTCTGGTTTCTCTCCACCCCACCATGCATCCATCACTGTCCTGAGTGTCTACTTGACGGCAGCAAGCCAGGTGTGATGGCCATGTCACACATAGCACCAGGGCCCAAAGACAGGAAGCTCGAGGCCCAGCCTCAGGACCACAGGACGGAGGGCCGCTTTTGGTGCCAGCCAAGAGCTCTCACTGATGCCTTTCTTTCCCAAGAGAGGATGTTCCTCATGTACTGGGTGGTCACAGCGATGTGCACGTGGACTGACGAGAAGGAAGCCTGCGGGTAGCGCCGCTTTGGCTCTCAGGGCAGTAGTTCCGCCAGCACCGTTCCCAAGTCCCTCCTTTTAGAGAAGGAAAACTGGAACTCAGCCATGGCTTGCTGCTACTTCATCATTACTGGGTCACATCAGGAACGAGATGAGAAATATAATCAATTTTCTTGCCTGGATAAAACCCTTCCCTTAGGTATCTTCATGGGGGTTAGCCAGCTTTCTCTCTCTCCTGATTGACAAACACCTCCACCTCTGTTCACAACATGTTAAATTTCCTATGGCTGATTTGCTCTTAGTAGTTCTGCAATTGTGAGAATCCTGCCTGAACTTCCTCCTGCAGATCATCTAATTAAAAAGAGTGGGGTGGGGGTGGATAATGTAACACTGTGTGTCAACCATGCTTCAATTAAAAAAAAAAAAAAAGGAACTAAGGGCTTTTGCAAAAGGCCATCTGAGGATAAGCAGCCATTTCCCCAGCACACCAGTAGTTTGCTAATGTGTGTACTGGGGTGGGGTGGGGGTGGTTACTGAGATGAGAGCCACTGAATTTTCACCAAACTGAACTCTAGACCCTGACATGTAATAATGACTATAACCAGCCAGCCCCGAGTTTCTGGAAAGCTGTCAACATCCCTAAAACAAATCATAGGATGCTGTATAAGAAATGAGAGATGTAGAAGGCTATGCTTTCAAGGTAGTCTCAGAAGGCCAAGAAGAAGGTGGGCACACAAATTTAGAGAAGCAGTCTGCACTGCAACATAAAGGTGGAGGAGAAGGCATAAGTAGAGAATATCACCTTGGAATCCGTGGCCAGGAGAACTGTACCATCCTCACGTATCAAAGGCTGTTGGATGTTCACAAGCATCCCTGGATCAAGAAGACCTGTTTGTCTATTTAAGACATAAAGAAACCCAGAGTAGCTTCCAACATTTAACACACAGTATGATCATGCTGCATTGCCCTGTCCCTTCTACATCTGCAAAACTGCCTGAATAGCAGAAAAGCTCTAAGTAGACTCAGCCATCGAGTGACTGAACCACCCACCTTCTCTCTAGAATGAGATGAGCACAAAGCTGGGCCTACAGCCTGAGACAGGATGCCACACAGATACACATCCCCTTGGCTTCCGTGCAGACTGCAGACTGTGGCCACTTTGTTAAGTAAAGTTAACTTGATCTTCAGAATATCACCAAGGAATTCCCAACTCTAGTTCTCACTAGGCTACAGTTTGGATTTCTTGTTTTCCCTTTCTGTTCCTTTTAAATGAAGTTCGATAGATCACATGGGGGATAAAAGACATAAATTAACTTGTGTTAACTATTGGACTACCCGGGGACTTAGGCCTTTTGTCTGTACTGCAGAAAAACCCCATCTTGAATTGCAGAGCAATTTATGAATAACTATAGGACATAACCCCAAGGCAGGAGAAAAAACCCCATCTTAAATCAGCCATCCTCAGGTCTGTCCACAGGCGTGACTGAAGCAGCTCCGAAAAGGGTGGGAAGAGGCAAGACAAGGCTGAAGGCTGTGGCAGTGGGGAGGGAGCCACATAAGCTCCCTCCAAGGAATATCCATGCCTCCTCTAATCAGCTCAAAGGCTGATGGTAGTGCTGCCCTTTGTCAAAACAGGGACTGACCTTGCTCCGTCTTTATCTGCCACAAATGTGGGAGTGGCTATCAGAGGACTTCTCAGGTCCTTCCGGATATAGATTTTCTCAGTTGAAGCAGCACAATTGCTTGGTTTCTCCCGTTGTACATCAAAGGGCTTCCGTTCACTCTGCACAGCTTAAATCACAATGTAAATATTCACGTTTAGATGAAGGAGTCAAGTCATTAAAAACTACATCCTTTGTAGTAAAGTCAGGGATCTTCCTTAGTAAGTCTGCTACTATAGGGATGATAAGCTCCAGTGCTAGGCACATCCAGCTCAATTTTCAGGGGACTTTTCAGCCAAAGCAAAGAAAAGCTCAAAGCCAAACAATGCCATGCTAAGTCTAAAGAGTTCAAGCTCATTGCCTGCTAAGAAACTTCAGCATGGCATTTGCATGGCCTTGTGGAGGGCCCACACTGAGCTCTCTGTGTTTTCACTTTTTGCTGCTCACAAAAGGCACTCTCCCGGAAGAGAAACACCCATCTTCAAGTGGGCCCTTAACAGAGAGCTTGTCCAATGCATGTGTCATAGAGAACTTTTCTAATGTCCAACTCAAGCCTGCATGGCTTCTGCAAACTGTTTAATGGGCTGTCAATTTTCTGTAACACTAGCAGTCTCTCCCTTCAGCAATCTGGTCTGAGAGAGGTATACGGGCCAGAAACAACTGAAGGAAATAAAGATCTTTTTAAAAGAAAGAAAGGATGAACCCCATATCCAATATGTAAGAAAGCTAAGGGGTCCTATTTAGACAAAGAACCTATGGCTGAGAGAGGTGCCATGTCCTCCCCAGGCCTCACAGCTCCGAAGTGGCAGAGCTGGGGTTTGATACTCCAAAGCCTGTGTTCACCCCACTGTGCTGTGCCGCATGCAGCGTTATCTGGAGAAGGTTTCCACACACACCATAGGGAAATGACCAAACGCAGCAGCATGGGTGCTGGATCACCTAGCTGACCCAGAATGGAAACAAAAGGAAGCCTCAGTGGTTATTTTCCTCTTAAGAGTATTTTAATGCCAGGTATAGAAATCTTGCTTTCTCTCAACTTGCTAACTCAAATGCCTTGTTCATACAGTTACTCACATTCCATTTTCATGCCCATCTCTAAGCATTTCTTCAGCCGGCAAAACTGACAGCGGTTCCGGTGGTGTTTATTGATGATACAGTCTTGGTTGCTCCGGCAGCTGTAGGTCAGATTTTTCCTTACACTCCTTTTGAAGAAACCTTTGCAACCTTCACAACTGACAGCCCCATAGTGCCGGCCTAAAAGGAGAAAGTGTGTGTGAAACAGCTCACCAAGATAAGAGGTGATCCATCACAGGCCGTGTCTAAGGTAAGGCTATCAAAGTAACTGGTGCACAGTGTCCGGTGCCGGCAGCCGTGGGACAACCACGAGCCTGAGCATGAAGCACGGCACTTAGGTTCTTCCCCTGATTTTCCTATAATCTTTAAAGTAGCCCTGTGATGTCATGATAGAAAAACAGAAGCTCAAGGGGCGGAGCAAAATGGCGGAGGAGTAAGAGACCTGGATTTCGTCTGGTCTCAGGAATTCAGCTGAATAGGGATCAAACCATTCTGAACACCTATGAACTCAACAGGAGATCG